TGTGTGTGTGTGTGTGTATACCATTCCCCTGAGAGCAGCAGCAGTGATTGAAAGTGACCGCGTTGTTTCAGTGTCACCCTGCAGATGAGATGCCATGTCTGCGTGTCAACTGACACTCACATCTCATTCACATCAGCCACATCCACAAAGACAGACCTGTCTCTGTCTGTTGTCATCTTCTCCCATCTATTTTTCTCACTTTTTTCTTTCTCTTCCACCCCCCCCTTTCATTTCCTTTCATCCCTCTACATGCATCTTTGAACTCTTCCTTACTCTTTGCCCACATCTTCCCCTCTCTCCTCCCTGTTGTGACTCAGCCTCTCTGCACTCTCCAGCCTTCACTTCCATCACTCAAGTCTCCTGAGGAAAAGACATCGGTTTGACTGTTAGCCAGGCCTATTACTTGTAAAGTTGTGTTTTAGCCCATTTTGGTGCGAGCTGGGTGGTGTTTGCCACTCTGGACCATTTACTAAACATGATTAATATTAGAAAATTATACAAAAGTATGTTCAAGCGTAATTTAATAACACTTACAGTAATTTTGTTCTTAAATTTACCCACTTAACATATTTTCTGATCATTTTTCTTCCCTTGTTTTTCTTCCCTAATCCTGGTCTGCAAATTTATTTTAATATCCCATAATGCTGTTTTGTAGAAAAAAGAAACTGCCCCTGAAAATTAATCTCTGAAAAGCTACATGTTTAAGGATATGTTAACCAAAATTACAAAAAACTCTGGATAATCCACAATACATGTTGTCATCAGGTTTTAGAGGGACTATTTCTTCAGATAAAAACAGTTCACAGCGAGGTCTGTGGATTATCCAGCGTAACAAGGACATTGCTTGTGGAGATGTTGTTGTTGATTGTTTTTAATATCAGCAAAATTTCTACATGGCTTGATGCCAAAAGGAATAAGTGAGAAAGTATGGTTGTTTTTGTACAGACCCTTTAAAAGCCAGCTGATTCTGGACCAGTTTTAACAACAACTCTTCCATTCTCCTCATTGTGCTTCGAGCTGCAAACCAGATCATCTGCCTGGAGATGCTTTCCTCCAGCAGTTCTCATTAAAAAAAAGTCACGTCATCAAGACCGCACGCTGTGAATGTGTGTGAATGTGTGTGAGCATGTGTGTGCTATTGTGCATGCATGCAAGGAGTGTGTGTTACACAAGACCCTGGCGCCTGCTTTCAAAGGATTCATTAAAAGCAGTGAAAGGCTTGATCTGCGGTTCGGGTTGATGTACTGAGCATGTCTGTGTGAGTGTGTGTGTGGTGGGATTTGAATGGTGAAAGAAAGGAGGAGAAACTAAAGAGTGGAGAGACTGAGGGAGAGAGAAATAGAGAGAGGGAGAGAGAGAGAGTGTGACTGAAAAATGGGTTTACATAAACCCTGACCTCATGTTATGAATGAAAACATCAATCAGTGAGTATAACTAATCAATTTTTCCACTCTGTCTCTCCTCTCCACAGGATGCGGAAGTAAAGAATTACATTTAATGGGATTCCTGTAATCTGATTACAAAACGGTGGCATCTGTGCTGCATTAGTGACAGCAAAAACAAAGGAAACTTTAGATTGTTTCAGAATTCTTGCTGAATTTTCTCAAGACGCAAACATTATTCTCTCAAGAAATTATCATTGAAACTACTTGTTGATGAAGACAACCCAAATCATAACATGGAAATGAAATCCTAAAGGGTTTTTGGTATTATTCACTGAGCGTCATAGTAGCAAACTGTAAAGTAAACTGATTACCCAGTGGACTTGAAGCAAGTTACTGGTTATAATGGGTTTAACTTTGAAATTAACCTCCACTGCCTTTTTTCCGTCCGCTGTTCCACCATCCAACTGCTCCACATCACCACACACACAGTGTGTGACTGCATGCTCTGCACTGCAGTGTGCAAATTAAATCACGCTATGCTATAGGTTAATTAAAACAAGATTTCCCTGAGGCTTGCGCATACTGTACATTGGTACCCTTACACACATGCACAAACATACATTTACTGTGACTACACTCAGGGACTAACCAATCCACTGAGTTCAGTATGCATGAAATCCCCCCACCCCATATAGAGCCAGTTAGCACACACAAGCTACAGCAGATACGTGGCTCTAAATGAGCAGTAGGATTAACAGTTATTAATTATCTCACAGCCTCATTAAGTACACAGAAGCTCTGGTGAGGGACTAAATAAGATTGTTCATGAAGCGCACATGATCAAAGACACACTGCATGCTATACACAAGCTATCTTCTGACATTATCAATAAGTTATCAGTACCAAATGCTCTCTACGATCAGCTACTCCCCTGTCTAATCACCTCTTAAAATCTCTGTCTCTTAAAATGTGTGAGTACACGTGTGTGTGTGTGTGTG